ATATATGGCAGAATATTTTAAAAGATATTATCATTTTGGAGCTCCAAATCAAATGTTGCTTGAAAAAGCCAATCCAAAAGCAATTCACTCGGAAAAGGAAAACAAAAAGCTGTTTGGAACTTCAAAAATAACCCAAATCTACTGCCACCCCAAAGTCCGATTGGGCCTCCCATGTTGCTGGACAGTGGATTGTAAGGGATTTGGATCGTTTCCAGAGCTCGACTCAAATCTTATAATCTTATTTGGAGCATCATAATTTGGAACTATCCACCACAAACTTTTCACTGTTAAGGTGGGGTAATATAATATGCTTGTTGGTAGATGGAACAAAGCAACATAGAAGGCACACAGTGTAGCGAAGGGAGGAGTTAGGTTGTTGATGCCCTAAACCAATGTTAACAAGCAAAGAAAAGCTACAGTGGAAGTGAATGTTCGAACAGAACAATGGAATTTATGGAGAAATGCAAACATTTGTACATAATCCTAATTGGATTACCTGCCAATATAACTCAATCAGTAAAACCATTTCCTGGAGTAACAAAACAAGCATGGCCTGAATTCCCGAAAAACCCAAGTACGCTAAACAATGAAAACCAAATCTATGGCTAAACAAGCCTCCACTTGTAACTAAACCAAGTTAAGGAAAAGCATTTGAGAAAATCAGCCAACTTTCTCCAAGCAAATGTGTGACTTTGAGCAATACTTAATCAAGAAAATGTGTTATACATAAATTAGAGAAAGACTGCCTTTCCTCACACAAATGCCTATTAATCAACCTCATAAGGGAATTAATTACTTGAATATAAGAGCATCACGTCTAGGACCCACACCAATGTAGTTAATGGGTATGCCCAATATTTCTTCTATCCTCTCTACATAGAGGCGAGCAGCGTCAGGTAGATCCTCATATTTTCTAATTTTGGATATATCACTATCCCACCCAGGAAGTGTTTCATACTCAACCTGACAATGCAAAAGCAAGGGATATCAACAAAAAAAAAAAAATTCTTCTACTTTTGCTAGGCAACCAATGAGTAGATCATGAGTAATAAGAGCTTTTACACTTTATATAGCTGAAGTGAGAATAAAATTCCAAGTGCCAAAATGACATATGATGACATTCATGGTGTGACATTTATAGTCACATATGAATCACTTACAAGATCACCTCCCATGGGTGAAATGAGAAGCCCCAAAAAGAATGAACAAAAATATGTCCAGTACAATGTATGGCAAAGAGATAATATAAGCATGTACCATTATATTATTCACAGAAGAATGGCTCGTCACCATCATCTGTTGTTGAAAGTGGATAGTGCAGACGACACGTATCATACTAGTATGATACATATATCATAGCCCACAATCCTAAAACGACCTAAACTATCTTAGCAACAACTAGGTGCCCCCACTTTTTTAATACAAAGCATTCACAAGTAGTAAGGAACCCAGTTATTATCACTATCAGAAATCTTCATCAAAGTCCAATAAAGTCTCTGTTGCCAGCATATGATAGAATACATATGGTATTTGTAGAAAAAAACAAACCTTATAGTAACTTTTATCCCAAAAACAAAAGTAAAAACGAGGGACTTGTCAGTAACATCAGGTCAACTGAGACTCTCTTCATTCTCCCATACCTTCTTTGAGGATATGAAAAGGAATGAGACAAGGACCATCATTGGTGCCACTAAGTTCTTCTCTCAACCCTTATCCTGCATCATCACCATTATTCCCTCTTCCTGGTCCCATCTTCATTCTTTTCCACTAGTCAATCCTACTCTATTCTGATGAACTCAAGAAACAATAGTGGAGATACAGAATCCTGGTGGACCAAACCTGCTAAGGTATCCAAGATAAGCCAATCAATGTTACAGCAACAAACAACCATTACGAGTTCAACCTCGAACCTTGTAAATTATGAACTATATTGTTGCAGATGCAGATCAGCTCCTGTCTTATAAAGCTCGTTCATTACGTTATGTTACAGTTATAGGTAACTCTCTAGATGTACAACAGTATTTTTTCTTTGTATAATGTCAGAAGTTTTTAATAGTTGAAGCACAACCTTTTTTTTTCAGTTTTCTAGTCAAACTGTCAGGTTAAGGGGCGGATATGCTTCCTATGATCATCATCACCATCCGAGCCTTATCCCAACTATTTGGGGTAGGCTATATGAATCATGTTCTGCCATTCTGCTCTATCAGGGACCGTGCTCTCATTCAGACCATAAGTCATCATATCTCTTCTCACTATTTCCATCTATATCCTTTTAAGCCTTCCCCTTGTCCTTTCAGAGCCTTCCACTTGAACCAAATCACCCCTCATAACCGGTGTTGATATACTTCCTCTCAGGTACAAAAATTTTCTCAGAAGTAGTGCGAGACTTAGAACACATAAACAAAATGGTATTTGATGAAAAGAAGAGTCATTTTGTTAAAAAGTGAAAAAGGCAACTGCTTAAATCCAATGTTCAAAAGGTTTTTTTAGGTCACAAATTCTAGTTATTCCAATATATCAAAGTAATTGTATATCTATGGCAGTTTTGGTGATATTCCTCAGATAAATGTTACTTGGTTAATTTTTACCTTCATTATTCTTTGGAAGTCGTCAAATATAATTGTAACAAAATTATCTACTTCTCCGTGAAGAGTGATTCTCAAGGCTAAGTCGAACATCAAAAAGAGTTATTTGAATGATCTCATTGATAAATGTCTTTAATTTATTGGACATTCGTTGGAACCTAATGAAGATGGCCTTGTATCGATCAATTTCTACATAAAGAAGGCCTTGTAGCGATCAATTCTCTTCCTTACTTCATGTGTTCCCTTTGGAGCTTCTTGAATATATCGAAAACTTGGACCCAGAAGCATGTGACTCTGCCAAGTTTAATCCAATAATCACAGATGTTGGTCAAGGCAACCATAGAGTGGGGGCACTGCATCACTATTTTCTCATTCCATGACAGGAGAAAGAGGAGAGGAATCTATCTCAAATAGAGTGATTTCCTTAAGTTACCAGGTTGATATTTTCACTCCAAATGCAACCGATGTGCAAAACCATTTTATGGCTTCTCCATAGGTGGATTTCAATGTGGATGCTCTGAATAGTGATAATCAGACCATTGACAAATACCTATTATTCAAAACCTTGGAGAAAGTTTCTAACCCATAGGCCAAGGATTTTCTAATTTCTATTTGTGGGTGACTTGCCATGTACAAAATAAACAGTTTGAACAGCGTGCAGTATTTGTACCAGATTAAGAATAAAGGGATCACGATCAGTCAAATGGGATACAAATCTGATATAGTATGCAAAAAAAAAAAAAAAAAAAGAAACGATAAAGGATGACAATAGAGTATGCAAAAAATCAGGAAAAAGAAATACATTGATCAAATGAGATAGAATGGCTGTATGCCGTTTATAGAATGCAAGAAGAACAACAACAAGAAGAAGAAAAGTAATGTCAGTTCAAAAAAAGAAGAAGAGTGATGAACACAATAGATATAGAAGTGCAAATTCTACAAGAGGCACACTCATCATCGACAAATTATTAGAGGGCTGTAGGATGGGGTCTACCAAGAGGCATGTGCTATGCACATGTGCTAACAACCTCTAGATGGTACGAACATTTTTTTTTTTTGGTTGGGGAAAAAGGAACACATTAAAAGTGCTTAAAAGATGGGGATTACAGCTTAGGTTTTCAACAAAGATAATGATCTTCAAAATACTAGAGAATTTCTCGTTATGAGTACCGGCATTCAAAAGATTTTACTCTTTAAGTATGGATAAAGATAAGATATTTCGTAGTTACCGGGATCTACTCTCTTGCTTGGCAATCCCTTGCAGAACCTCAATTCTCTCGATCCCGGAGCGGATCTCGTCTGAAACTCAATTTAGATTTTTCGGGATCTCGCCCCATCTTATAAGGGAACGAGTTTCTTACAATTTCATTTCACGTTCCTGAATATTACATGATCTAGTTCCCTAGTCTTATGGTTCGCGTTCCAGAGTGTATTGGGACTTAGATTCCAAAATAACGTAACACAAGAATCGCCACATATGGCATCTAGATCCCACCACTATGGGATAGCTAGTGTGGAAGGATGGAATATCTCTATCCCCCCTTCAAGTGGTTGTGAAATCCTGATATTGGACGGTAAATTGCAAAGCCAAGGTTTTGGACATTGCTCCCCCACCCTCCCACACAACACCACAAAATCGTTGCCCATTAATGTTTCATAATTTTATGATAACTTTACATCATTGTGATATTTTATGACAATTCTACATCAATAAACAATTGCTCGTGTTCCTCAATAATGAGTACTCACCTTTATTTTCTTTTTTACAAAGCAGCAATACTAACAACACAATTATTCCAGGTATATATAGTGTTGATTTATGTATCTTTTTTTTTTTTTTTTGAGAATAGTGTTGGTTTATATATATTTACACATAACTATTTAGAATGTCATAATTTGTTTAGTGAAATGATCTATCTACTATATTAATATCATGAACAATGGATTAGTTTAAGATTAGTTTAAAGTTCCTTATTTATTTCATAGAAGACTAAGCCTACATGTTATTGGTTAACAACACCAGGAGCTACATTTTAAAGCCATGGATCCTTATTCCAACCTACCCTAGGAACTCATGCTCTAAGAAAATGGACCTCGCTCTTGTAGAAGTTATTCCTCACTCCATAATATATTGGATCACTTTTACTGATGTGCTCCCCAAGTTAGGAAACTAAAAAAAATGCCCCTGGGAACTTCGCTTCTTATGTATAGGATCTCGCATCTTTATATAATGATTCTTGATCTTATGTAATAAAGGAGCTCGATCCCCAACACACATGGACCTCGATCCCCACCTTTGAGATTGTACAGGCATAGATCCCTAATTAATACAGGGATCCTGAGTATAGCTTTGATCCGCCAATCCCGATCCCACCCCCGATCCCGGAACCGTTCCCGTACCCAACAACTATGAGATATTTATTAAAAATGAGAGTTTCCTTTTCCAAATAGACTGCATATTATAAATTTCCAAAGAAGATATATATTACAAGAGAAGAATACGATTGAATTAGATTATAGGAGTAAGTAACCACGAAATCCCACTTTGCAAGGTTCTCTCAATAGGTATCCCACCCTAAAGTTTCTCCTCTCCATAGGGTCCTACTCTAATTAAATACCACATATTCCTACGCTTTAATGTGGCATATATATGTAGAAGAGATATGCTATAAAATCCAAAAATAGATTTTAGATCTTAATTATCCCAAGAAAGCAAGCTTACATATCAAACAAACTAAGAAACTTGCATGAAGAATTAACCATGTTGAGTTAACAACCACATTATCATCATCATCGTTAGAGTCTTTTTCCAACTGATTGGGATCGGATACACAAATCCTAGTCCATCATTCTACTCTATCAAGGGTCATACCCTCAATGAGAGGTCATAAATCCCCATATCTTTTCTCACTACTTCCAACCATGTCTTTTTGGCTTACCCCTTGCCCTTTTTTAGCCTTCCACTTGAACTAGCACGCACCTCCTAACAAGTATTGTATTAGGTCGCACTGCACATAGCCAGCCCACCTCAGTCAACTTTTTTTCATCTCGCCTATTGGTAGCACACCTAACTTCTCCTGAATGTATTCATTTCGAATTTTATCCCTTCTTGTCTTCCCATTCATCCATCTCAATATCCTTGTGTCACCTACAGTCATTCTAGGGGTTGAGTTAACAACCACATAAGGGTAAATTAACAATATAGTGTACGTGGGGCAAAAGATACACAAATACCTTCTGAGATTTAACAGAAAAATGAAACATGGTAAAATTTACTGTTATAAACTAAGCAATTCTTCAAGAATGATGCATATTACGCATAATATCCTCAGTGTGATACAAGACATACAATATCATAACACAAAATTTTGAACGAGCAAGAAAGCCCAAAGTCATTACTAATTCAGAAAATAAAACACTAAGTCATGAAATACTTACAACCAATTGCTCAAGAGTTAGAAGATCTGCTGGAACAGATTTCAGTACTTGTCCATTTTGTGCTCTATATGAAACCCCCAACTTGATTTCAGGAAGACCGGATAGGACGTCAAGCTTAGTCAGGTTGAGAGAGGAGAATCCATTGATCTGACAACAATATTTCAACGCAACCATGTCGATCCACCCACACCGCCGAGGTCGACCAGTGGTTGTACCAAACTCATGCCCAGCAGCCCTAAGCTTTTCACCCATCCTGCCCAATTGCTCAGTTGGGAAAGGACCAGAACCGACTCTGGTAGTGTAAGCTTTTACCTGTGCAAAGAAACAAAAACAGTGATTAATGGAATCACAGTTTTCACACTTTTAATACAAAATTCCATCAATCCATTACAGATAAAAGATACAATTACTTTCACCAGGCATGTATAAAATGCACACCATTATTTTTTTTTAAAAAAAAGGTATAATTGTGTATGCCATTTAATCAAATACCAGTGACACTTAAACCCTCTCATAAAGGTGAAAAAAGATATTGCTGGTCTTTAAAGGCCAACACACGTGCTTCATTTTTCACTGGTAAATAAAAACCCTTGAAGAAATTTGTTCATGACATTTTATCTCTATTTACAAGGAGTATAACATTGTCCAATCTACTATTGGAACTGATACTCCACCGAGGTGATCGCCAGCCAATGAAATAATGGACAGTGATGCCCTGGAGGGAGAGAGAGAGAGAGCCACCAGAACAGGACATAACTGTCAATGATTTCAACAGATTGTCGTGACACCAATGGACTATGGCATTCCAGAATCCATTGGACTATGTACGCTTTCCGGTAATGAACAGGCAAGAATGCAAATAACTAAAAGACATATTAATTTTGAGCTCTTTGCTAATTCGACTTACCACTCCTATCAAATCACCCAAAGATCTTGGAGAGATACCAAGCCCAGTGCAAATCCCACCAGCTGAAGGATTAGAGGAGGTCACGAATGGGTATGTTCCAAAATCGATATCTAACATGGTTGCCTGACCCCCTTCAATCAATATCTTCTTCTTCTGTGAAATCGAGTCATTCATGAAGTGTATCGTATCAACAATAAAGGGCTCCAACAACTTGGCAAACTTCTCATACCTTTTCACTTCATCATTGAGAGTACAAGGAGTGTATTCGAACCCTTTGAATCTCAATACAGCATCATTGAGGAGAATCTTTAGCTTGTCAGCAAACATATCCATGTGCTTTAAGTCACTTATTCTAATGCCATTTCTGATCACCTTGCTAGAATAACAGGGCCCAATACCTCTCTTTGTTGTCCCAATAAAGGAATTTGAAAGTTCAGCTTCCCGAAGCCCATCAACAACTTGATGGAAATCAAACAACAAATGAGCACGATCAGAGATAAACAGTCTGCCCTTGCAAGAAATTCCATTGGATTCAAGACCCTCAATTTCTTTAAAAAAACTAGGGAGATGGACCACAACTCCATTTCCAACCACACATACTGTTTCTTTGTTAAGAATTCCTGATGGGACAAGATGAAGAGCAAATTTCTTTCCCTCACTGTTATATATGGTATGGCCTGCATTCGCTCCTCCCTGTCATAAGGAAAGCAAAATTGTTATCCAAAATCACAGCAAGTAAAGACAGATGTCATTCCCTTCTATTTTCCATTTCCTTTTCGTTACTTTCTTTGTTCACAATTAAAAATATATCTATTCATGACAAAAAAACAACAAAAGTTTGTATTACAAAGAAACAACAAATTGAAGGAAACAAATAATTCAAAACTAAGCTTCTCGTTGAAGCACATCTTTGTCAGCTTATCTGCCAGTGAATGGCTTATCCCAAGTTGATAGTGCTTCTGGTTCTTCTCTTGTTAAGGGACAGAAAAGTTGCAATGACATCATGGACACTTTATTACATATATGCAACATTTGGAAGTATGTCAACAATAAACTGTTGAACATTAAGGATCCCCAAAAAACAAAAACCAATAACACTGACAAAAAAGAATCGGAGGAGAAAATATTACAAAGCAGTGAGAGGGAGGGAGAGAGAACCAACAAAGGTAGATACAGACTTAAAAAAAATATTTACACCTCTGCCTCTAGGTCATAGGTAAACTAGTAAGACTATATGACATTCTCATAGTTAAGACAATTTAAACAAGTATAAAACAAACATAGATATAATTTAGTTCCTGAAAAAAATCAGTAGACATCATTCAAAGCCTAATTATTTTTTCAACGAATGGAAATTGCTAACTATCTGTAGCATATATGAAGCCATCCAAACTAACCATTCCCAATAATAAAGATCTGTCAACAAACAATGTCGCTGAACACAACTCCAAAGCATTGTTATGTAGGTCCAATTTGGTTTTCTAAAGCTCATATGTCTATCTAAACATGTTTTAAATAACAGAATATAATTCACAACCACTTTAGGAATAAAACTGTTCGAGGGAAAGCATGCTATAATCAAAAAGACTAAGGAAAGACATAGTTTGAAGGGGGCCATCGCCATCCAGTGATAGAGAAGGAGGGGACCCTACCAGAAAAGATACAACAAAAAAGTGAGCCACATTCTCTGTGAACCTCTGAGACATTTTGTAGTATTGTGAAGGACAAGTTTGACCCTTTTGCAGTTATGTTTCAATTTCATTTTTATTTTCTGCTTATTAGGATATCATGTTCTCCATTTTTTCTTAACAAGTAAAATGTCCAACCTGGGCCGGAAAGAAACCCACCAAATTATGATTACCAGCCATACACATTAGGAACAGCAATTCTTAATCTAATGGTGGAAATGAAACACCAAATTGGATTACATTTACAAAGTACTTAGCATTTCAAGTCACACATCCATATTTTTAAAGACAGAACATTTTTAATGTAATTTTTACTGTGTTGAAATGATTAGGAGAAAGAATTGACATCCCTAGTTGAGTTATGCAATACAACATTGGTGTGAGTCAAACGCAATACAACGATATGCGTTATGCAACAAAACCACAAATAATTTGAGCGATGTAGACCTTAAAGAACAACAGTTTGCAGAGACTTGCAAAGGGTTTAGTAAAGAGAGTAAACCCTCATTACACTTCAAACTCAATTCTAGCTGATTTGCGAATCAGCATTAAAACCAGATTTTCAATTTCATTTTCACAAGTGAAAATATTTTTCCAAAAGGAAAGGTGAGTCAAATAGAAACTTTTAGGATTTGATATTCAATGACACTGCTCAAAAGCCTGGACTAACTTTGAGACTTGCCTAGGGCGCGGATCAATTCAGCTTGGGGAGTCCCAAGTGGCCCCTTGAGTCCAATATAAAGGCCATATAAAGGCCAGGAAAAGGTTAAAATTCATAATTTCCAGAAAAATCATAATAAATCCAAAAAATACAAAATTAAAAATCACAATACCTATACACAAAATGCACAATTGACTTGGCATAAAGTTTAAATCTAGTTGATCCAAGCTATTCAAATGTTTGGCCAAATATCGTTTCGATGATTCGAATCTTGGAAATCAGAGATTTTAAGTAGTTTTTTGTGGAAACAAAGCCCACGATTCAATAAAAAACTCAAAAATAGGCTTAGGCAACAAATCTCAACCAAGATTGAACTAGGGTTGCAAAGAATCACAAGTTTTTGGACTTCAGCGAAACCGTAGTTCAAACTTCACAATCTTGCAAATCCAAGATCTTTTTTTTTTCTCTCGAATATGATGTTTTCCAGCAGCTAAAGGATGCAAAAACAATCATAAGCCTCAAATTTCATACCAAATGAGGGCTTGATTGAACAGAAATGTGAAAATGGGGGGGTTGATTTTCCAGCACCCACCCACCCCCTATTGCACGCCCCCACTTGATAATTGTGTTTTTTGCCGAAACTTGGCGAGTTCGAGTTTTTTGCTTTTTCCTTTTTTTTCCCTCTTTTTTTAACCTCGCCTGAGTTACCACAGTAACTTGGGCGAGTTCAAGAACAATACATATCCTGGGCAAGTGGGTGAATTCGTCCTCATAAGGTTGTTATTAAACCTCACCATCATCATAGCCTTTTCCCAATTAATTGGGATCGGCTACACGAATCCTGGTCCGCCATTCTGCTCTACTTAAGGTCATACCCTCAGTGAAACCATAAGTCCCCATATTTTTTCGGACTACTACCAACCACATCCTTTTGGGCCTACCCCTTGCCCTTTTCAATTCTTCCACTAGAACTAACTCGTGTTTCCTAACAGATGTTGTATTAAGTCGACGCCATACATGGCCAGCCCACCTAAGTCTACTCTCTCTCTCATCTTATCTCTTATTGGTGCCACACCTAAACTTTCCCGAATGGATTTATTTCGGATTATATCCCTTCTTGTCTTGCCACTCATCCATCTCAACATCGTCATCTCCGCTACACTCATTTTATAGGTATATTGTTTTTTGTCTATCAAACATTCATCCCCATAAAGCAAAGTTGGTCTCAAAGCTGTCCTATAGAACCTACCCTTCAGCTTCATTGGTATGCGGCGATCACATAAAATTCCAATTGCACATCTCCACTTCACCCACCCAACTCTAATTCTATGTGCGACATCTTCCTCGATGTCTCCATTTTCCTGGATTATCAACCCAAGGTATCGAAAGTGCGGTCTTTTTTGTAATTCCTGGCCGTTAATCTTAACTGCTTCCTCGTCTTTACTCCTATTATTATTAAATTTGCATTTCATATACTGTCTTAGTCCGGCTAATTTTAAACATTTGGATTCTCAAGCATCCCTGCAAAGTTCTAACTTTGTTTTGACGTCGTTTTGTGTCTCATTGATTAAAACTATATCATCTGCGAACAAATGCACCACGTTACCTCATCCTACAGGTGCCTAGTTAAGTTGTCCATAACTAAGACAAAGAAGTACAGGCTCAATACTGACCCTTGATGCAGACTTATTGTCCTTGAAAACTCACACATCTCTCCAATAGTTGTTCACACACTAGTTAGCGCTCCATCGTACATATCTCTCACTAAGTCGATGTAGTGTCTGGAGACTCCTTTCTCTTCCAACACCCTCCAAATCAAATCTCGAGATACTCTATCATAAGCTTTCTCTAGGTCAATAAAGACCATGTGGAGGTCTTTTCCCTTCGCCTTAACTTTTCAATCAGTTACCTAAGCAGGAAAATAGCCTCAGTTGTTGACCTTCTTGGCATAAAACCAAATTTGTTTTCAGATACACTCGTTTCATGCCTTAGTCGTTGCTCAATCACTCTCTCCCAGAACTTCATAATATGGCTCATAAGCTTGATCCCTCGATTGTTCGCACAATTATGTATGTCTCCTTTGTTCTTGTAAATAGGTACCACAATACTTTTCTTCCATTCGTCTGGCATTTTCTTTGTTCTCAACACTTTGTTGAACAACTTCGTGAACCAGTCAATGCCAATCTCCCCCATGTACTTCCAAACCTGTATTGGGATACCATTTGGTCCTAAAGCCTTTCCTATCCTTATCCTTTTTAAAGCTTCTTCAATTCTGATGTCCTAATCCTATGAATGTATCTATGACCTCCGCCCTCATTTATACCAACAATTCCTTCTATCACTATGTTTCCATTGTGTTCGTCATTTAATAATTTTTTAAAATATACTCTCTACCTTTCGTTGAGCTTGCCATCCTGATCTTCACTCTTAATGGATTTAATATGATTTAGATCCCTACAATTTTTCTCTCTTATTTAATCTAATTTGAAGACATCATTTTCACGTTCTCTTGTTCCCAGGTTTTTATTAAGCATGAGTAATTCAAATGAGTCCGAGTTGGATTAGCAGAGTTATTAATCAATACTCCATGAAACACTATTGGAAATAAGAAGAAGGTTGAATGCGTACTAGAGTCAATCTTATGCATTGAAAAGTCAATTATTTGAGTTTGGGCACAAAATTTTAGTTTTCTCATTCAAATCTTAATATATTTTGATTTAAATGAATCTTCAAATAAAGTTCTAGACATCGTGGAGACACAAAACCTTACCTCTTTTAAAATAACCGAAAAATATATGTTTTTAATATTTTTGGTTGACAACAACCTCAAACTTATGGAGGCCAAGGTCTACGCAACCTAGCCTACTTCACCCTTTTTAATACCTTGGTAGAGACCTACAAAGAAGTTAATGCACGATGCCAAGACCACTTATCAATGAGAAAGGAAAGCTATCTTCTAATCATTCTGAAGCCAGCCTCTCTGCCAAGTGCTAATGTCCTTTACCACATTCACTCCATTGATGCCCCACAAAAATTGGAGATGGAGGATGAACAAGAAGCAGAGGGCATTGGGATTGTTTCAGGCTTGGACAAGGAAGACATTTTGGACATTGATTTCCACTCCTCTGCCCGCCATGCACAACCTCGACAGATATGTGTTGCACAGGTTTTGAAGAGCCGCTGATTTCAGTCTTTAACACATCAGGGAAGGGACTCAAAAACCAACAATTTCCATCTAGGCTTTATCCACAGTTTGTTCCATAACATTGTAAGACAGGTTTTCTTCAATCCACCATATTCTTGGGGGCACGCATTGATGCACTACTTTTCTAAGGAAAGAAACTAGAAAAATGCGATTGTTTAGCCCGGTTCAAACCTACATTCAAATTTGGTGGATCAAACCATCTGTAATATATTTGCCAGTTCATTAGGGACCAGATTACTTGCATGCAGTAATATTGGTTTTGGCGATTTATTTTATGTGTTCCTTTCGGCCACTTGCTCCGCACCTTCTATTTTATCTTTAATCTAAGTCAGACAGTGTACCTTTTGAAAGCAGTTTGTCCATTTATTAAAATTATATACAATCATTAAAAAAAAGCACACATACACACACACACAAATTGTACAATCAAAAGCTTGTCTTAAAAAAAAAAAGCACACACACACATAAATTGTACAATCAAAAGCTTGTTTCTAACCAGATTACAACAATATTTCCAAATAAATCAAAAAATTCCTATTTTAAACAAACCAAAAGAATCTCAACCTCTTAAGAACCCAATACCCAGGAAGCATGCTTATCAAATACCCAGAAATTATAAAGCTATTAACACACATATTTCCTAAATCATACGAGAATAGCAAACCTAATATTTCACAATTTTCTATCAATAATATCACAGGGAGATAAACAATGTGCACATTACAATAAATATCATTATAACTAAATTTAACCAACAATCTCGTTCAGTCACGAGACCATAGTATCACAGCTCAAAAAAGTAAAAATTTCTATAAGAAGTAAGAACTTCAGAGATTCAAGAGAGAGATTCATATGTTTTTTTTTTTTTGGGGGTGGGGTTGGGGTTGGGGGTGCTTGTGGGGGAAGTGGAGACGTACATGTGAAAAGAGTTGGTGAAAATTGAATGAGAGAGAGACTTAGAGGCACCCAAGTACAAATAACACATAAGATTCACCTGAAATTCAGAGAAGAAAGAAGGGGGGAGAGAAAGACAGAGATTACCAACACTAACAAATTGAAAAAAAAAAAAAAAAAAGCCCAATTTCTCATATCATCCAAAAGATCAATTGCAGATAGATACATGATAGAACAAACAGAAACAACCAAAACCCATGTCTCAGCTAAAAGACCAACCTGGCAACGCGCAACAATGTCGAAATTCTCGGCCAAAATATCAACCAGCTTCCCTTTTCCTTCATCTCCCCACTGAGAACCCAAAACCCCACAAACTTGACCAAGCGACGACATCCTCTCATTCCTCACCGTTGTCTCATCAGTTGAAAGAGCAGGTGAATCCAATGTATTTGCAGAGCATCTTAGGGTTTTCGAGCCCGTTCTTTTGGGACCAACATTGGGAAGAGAGAGAGAGTAATTGCATTGCTTATGATTAGAGAGAGAAAGTTGGAGAGAAGAAGGGGAAGAGAAGAGGGGACCGTTGTTCAAACTCAAAACGGAAGAGAGCTTCATGGTGGCAAATGGTTTAGCGGAGAGGGTTTGGAGGGGATATTTAAATGGGGTTTTTCCTTAATATGACCTTCATAATGCTCCTGTAGTTTTCTTTGGCCTTTTTGGATTTATGGAGTCCAGACGGTTATGCATTGCACGCACCTGGACAAAGATCTCCATCGTGATCCATCACAAAGTCAATGTTTCTCTCGATGGCGTATGCTATGCTCCCGTGGAAGCATATACTATTTATCTACTCCCTCGGACTGAAGGTCTTTGGATTCCTCAACCCACAAATGTTTTCACGTGGAGAAGTACAGTTATGACATTTTGATCAAAATTTTAGAACAGAAAAGTATTTACATCAAAAACTATCCCTATTTCAAGCTAAAAATAAAGAAATTTGACTTTCAACCCAAATTTCCCTTATACAACGACAAAAACGTCTATTTTATAAAATTCAATTAATTATGTCAAAACACCCTCACAAATTAAAAAAATAAAATATCTCAAATTTTAAGTTTTAAAAAGTCAAATCTCTTGTATTTTAATACTTTTTTTATTTTTTCAGTTCATGAAAAATGTGATTTGAAATTCTCTTTTTTTAATTTAGCTTCTAAGTACTGATCCAAAAAAAATTAAGCTTCTAACGAGGCTATAATATATTCGTTTTGCTTCATAAAATTACACCTATATTAGGTTTTACACGAGGGAATGAATAGTACGACTCTTCTTGGAGTACATAATAATTTGGTTCCCTTTTGGATTTATATATAATTTTCTATGAGCATGTATATTTGCTCCGTAGGAGCAGACGATGTATCTACTCCCTCGTTCAAAACACTTTGCTTTTTTTTTTGATATAATATTTTGAAAACAAAAGATAATTATTTTTCTTTGGTATAATATTTTGATAACCATATATAATTATTTTAAAATAAAAGAAATCAAATTTTGAGTTTCGAGACATATAGATCTCGCTATTCAAAAATTGAACAGTCCTCCATTTAGTCTCAAGGCATTATTATTTCTAGTACATAGAGACTTCATTTCTGAATTTCATTTTCATTGAGATTACGCCTCTAAAATTTGAGAGTATCCCTAGCATATGATTTGTCAGAGGGAATAAATAAACAATAGTACACTCCCAAGGGAGTAGGAAATCTTTTAGGTCTATTTTATTACAATTAATCTTGATAATGATTTTCCTTCTGCTGTGTCTATCGTAAAGGTATATATCTGAAATACTATAATTCATAGTATAATAATTTAAATAAATCATCTATTTAAGATAAAGTTATTTAATGATATATATTGTATAACTTTTATAGGTAATTATCAAGTTTTAATATGCTATGGTAATTATCGAAATAGTCCATAAGTATTCAATATTGGGAAATTTACACAAAAATATTTTAAAGGGAGGATGTGGGTCCCTACTAGAACGTGAATAACTCTGACATAACAAAGTACATCTTTCAAATTGTATTTGCTCGTTCAAAGACTTCAATCTTAACTGGCAAATTTTAGCCAAAATAGATCATATTTAAAATAGAATGTCATTACCATAAGCCATTATTAGTGCTTCTCTTTAGGGTTTGTATACAATGGGATTATCTAGAATGAGGTTACGATTATTTATAATCATCCGATGTGGAATATGTTAGTTTGGATATGTTATAAATTTTGAAAAACATTCTTTTAAACTTTGAGCTTGGTCAATAGAATAAGGAAAATTTGCATTTGGATGGGCCTTTTTATTGTTATAATGGAATGGCTCGAAAATAAGCTATTATTACTTGAAAAAACGGATCTCTGAATTTTTTTAATTTTTACCACCTGGTTAGATTTTTTTAACATCCGACCGCCTTAGTTATACCGTAGAAGACTTTTGCTCTCTTCTTTTTCTCTCCTCTTTTTCTCTTTTACTCTCTCTTATGAGGACTTTGCTCTCTTCTTTTTCTCTCTCGATCCTCTCTCTCTCTCTCTCACCCTTTCAAAAATCTCACTCCCTTTCTCCAAGTATGGTATGTGATGAACCAAAGAGAGAACCGGGAGCAGGCGAGACAGAAGAGAGAAGAGATAGAAAGAAGAGAGCAAAGTCTTCGAGGGTGTAACTATGACAATATTTGAAAAATCAGGAAAAACTTGGACAAAAAAAAAATAAATTTTGGAGATCCATTCTTTCAAGTAATAACAACCTAGTTTCAGGCCATTCCTTTATAACAGTAAAAAAATAAACCAGGTCCATATGTAAATTTTCTACATAATAATGTAACCACTTAATTTCACATCCGATTATCAAAAAAAAATTTTATTTTTTTAACTAATGTTAATAAATTTATTGCTCTAAAGAAGTATTATAACATATTTACATCATTAAAAACCAAAAGCAAAGACGGATTATGGTCCACGGCACACGTTGCTGAGATAAATGGTCTCAATTGTATATTTTTTCTTCTCGTTAACCGCCATGTATCCAAATTTAGGAATTTTACATGGAGATAACCAGATTAATTATCGAAAAGCATAAACCTTAGAGAGAGAATCCTAAGTAGCTCAAGCCACTTGAGAGAAATGCATGACCCAAACTTTACCGAACATATAGCATATACTTGTCTAAACATTGGAAAAATCTTTTCTTTACTTTTCTTTACTTTTCTTTGGTTAATAGTCGATGAAGATAGCTATTGGGTTGGCGGTCTCACCCGCTCACCCTAGCCCATGGTCTCGCACCCCCAAACCATAGCAAGTCGCCGATTTAATCGCTGCTTTTTCGAGAAATCGGTGTTTTTTTTAAAAACAATTTAATATGTGACTTTTTCAATAGATCGATAAAAATAAACGATATTTTGTTTAAAACACGACTTTTTCAAATTTTGAAAAAATCATTTCAAAAAAAACTTTTCTATTAATATACTCTTTTTCTTTTTTTGAAAAATTCAATATCGTTTTCCTGTTTTATGAAATTTCTAATCTTTTTTTATTTCCATTATCCCAAAATTTTCTCTGGTTCTTTGTTATAGATATGGTGCGTATTTTTTCAGGTAGTTATGGGTAATTAGCAAGTATGGGGTAGACTATTTCTTTCTAGAAATATGAAAATTGAATTCACCTGCCAAAACTTATCTTGACAAATAGAATAGATAATCATCTTATGATTTAGAGATATATCACATTGAATATTTTAAATTTATATTTATAGGGAGGTCATTTTTATACTGAGTGATATATAGAGTGAAAGCATTACTCCTCGCTACTATTAATTTTTTCTATATTGAGTGATATATATATTTAGAGTTTCAAAATTTCTAATATTTTAAATATATCTGATTTTTTGAGCCTAGTCCGATATATTCGTGATATCTTTATATGAAGTATTTTTGTCGATCCATATTGGGCCGATTTATTGATAATCCCTGACTTTCTAACTACGCCCCAAACACATAATTGAGAAGATTATCTTTTTTTTTATCTACAATAACATTTTCTTTTTTGGGTGTGGTTTCCATAAGGTTGTAACCTTAAACAATCCAATTAAGAGGCACATTCAAAATTTATTATAATATATAATTTTGATGTACAATATTCTTAGGGTTATCTCAAAAGCTATTTTCATATCTAATAGTAAAACTTTAAACTCCAAAAATGGTTAAAATCATGTAGATCTATGAACATATGAAATCTTGAAAATGGACGGTCTAGATAATATGTTGCAAGATGTACTATTTTTGGGACTCAAAATCCGTATTTTTTTCATAGGCACACATCTCGATGTCGAGATGATCAATTAGAGTGTTTTTAAACATTAAAACGACATTTTCCGATAGATTTTTGAGGTGCATCCGTAATTCTACATTTTAAGGTTGCAATCTTATATAATTTATTATTATTATTTATTTGACAATATTCCTATCATTTCTAATCTCCTTCCAAACAGTTTCGAAAAAAGGAGATGGGATATGGTCGCTTGAAGGGTGCATGAGCACCGTTCAATGGTTCATATTGAACTACGCGACATCCACCAGTTAAAATTTAGTTTAATTTTTCATTTTTAATTTAAAAATAGTTTTTATTGAAATTTGAGATATGTATTTATTTTTACAAAGAGCTCCAAATAAAAATAAAAATAATATTTTAACTTAAATAAATTGACCAAAATATTCTTAAAACTTTTAGTAATATTTTGATCAATTACTTTATTAAAAATAATTTTTTTATTATTTTATTTGATATGGCTTATAAAAAAGAATCTACACCTTGAAATTTAGGTAAAAATAAAGTTTATATAAAAATAAATACAAAATTATATTTTGACCATTCGATGTGGTGAAGTTCAATCTGAACTGTAGGAAGGGTGTGCCTGTGGACCCTCCCACTGTCCAGATCATCCGGCCAGGAGAATTTCCGAAATAGGATTTTGCGCCCTTAGAGTTCTAGAGCTATTCTGGATCTTGTGTTGAGAATGGTCTTGCCGGACTACTAAATCTTTTCCCATCAATAAATCCATTAAAGCCACAAAGTCGACGCTCTAAAGGCAGCAAATCCAAATAGTAAAACCACATTGTACAGGGGCACTGGCGTCCTTTTTAGTCTTGATTCTTCCGGTTCATAATCATTTAAGACTTATTTCAATTTTTTGGAGTCCGCTATATAAATTATATGCCGTCATTCTACTCATAATTTTAGGATTTATAACATATTTGACAAAGTTTTATATTTGCTATCTTACCTAAAACAACTCATCTCCTTGACTTAGGGTTGGGGACTGACATGACCAGCTTGAGGACGGCCAAAGTGGAGTTATGCACAAATCACAAAAGAAAATCCTTTATCTAGTAAATTACAGTTGTTAAGGGCAGTGCTTTACTTTTCTTTAAGAATCGGATTTGGGTTTGATTGGCTAGCGGACGTTCAACAACGTTATATATCAAATTCAATTCCTACTGTTGAACTACTCGAAAAAAATTGTATTTTTTTTCGTAGGTCGGATGAGTTCGAACCCACGACCCAAATGTTACAGAACTCCATTCTTGTTGAGGCTTGAAACCCAATCGAAGTTCTTTGGGGGTGGGGTGCATGTTAGATGAGCAATTAATTTCAAAACATGTGTT